GCTTTTATTTTATAAACTATATTAGTGATTGCAGATCAATACTGAGGAGCCACTCATAAAATTAAACCTTTTTCGATCGTTTAATGTACCAATAAAATATATCATTACTTCAATTTATTTGTGATGGTCGTTTTGTATTTAATGACCAATTACTTTTTTATTATGGTACTTAAGAGGAATTTTTGCTAATCGCGGCTTCAATGATGACTTATCCGAAAGGTTTATAGGTTATTTTCGGTTATGAGAAGGATCGTGTTTCAACACCCGTGATGTCGTCGAACGACTTCATCAGGAGAGAGTGTTTTCGTTTGATTTCAAAGCATTTGGATGACAGTTTTAACGTTTATCTTAAAAAAATATAAATCTCTTAAATATATAAATAAATTTCGGACGTAAAATATCTTCTTTTCTCTGTGTTTCCCTCGACCGGTATTATTATTTTTAGACGTTTCATCTTGTTCTTGGTCAGAATTACACGCTAGTAAAAACACACATCAGTCGGTGGTCTATTTTGGACTTCAAAAGGTTGCAATGGTTTCCAAATCCATTTTATTTTATTTTTTTAATGTTACTGTGATGTAATCTTCTATTAAGTTCACATCTCAATAAGAAGTTTTCTTTAACATTGCGAAAAATGAATGCGAAACGGTTTTTTTATTGAAACTCTGCACGATTCTAATATGTTGTGTGGAGTCCAGACAACAAGTCTTTTTGCAGACGAGATTGTTTAAAAATAAATTTTTGGACAAGGTCAAGGTCATTTGACACCGGACGATGAAAAACGTGACGTCACGTTCCCAGAAGAATATCCTATCAAGAATCGTAAGCGGTTATCCTTTATTCGTTGAGCAACAGATGTGAATAGAATGCAAATTATGGTGTTAAGTCCAAAGAAGTCTTATGCATATTTATCAATAATTATAATCCGAGTCAAAGAACTCATCAACTTCATTATGTTAATGTTAAGCTGACTTAATATATATTTTATGTGTTCATATTATATGATATTTATGAATGCAAACAACAATACTTTAAATGTTTGTTGACGAACTCAGATGTAGATACAAAAGCGTCAGTCAGCTTAAACGTGTGAGAAACTTGGCGACCTAGATTAAAGATTGGCAATAGACATGAATACTGAACATGTTAAATGCGATTGGAGTATGTTTGTATGCAACCGATTCGTGAATTGTGAGTACTGGGATCGTTCAATCAAAAATAGTTTTGCATTCATCAAAATGGTTAACAGAGTTGCTAAACAATTTTTTCTAATTCTAGAATTTTTCATGAATTGAGTATTTGACGAAATAAATTCTCAAATATGTAAGAGACAAATGACAGACTGTTAGAGTGAGACTGTGTGTTTGAGAATTAAATGTAATTATCACTTCTTGGGGATTCACGGCATATGTTATTAGATGTAAATTTAGAACCTTCCGGGTTATGCTGCGACTTTAGCAATTCACTCTTTATCGCTCCAGGTGTCATGATGGAACCTTGTTCAGATTCAAATTAAAAAATGACAAAATCAGTTGAAAGTGACGATGCGATGTATTACATTACATTACATTACATTACATAAAATACATATCGGGTAGGCGGACCAACCAACCTTGCACCGCGACCCTAAGGATCTATTGTACCCCGATAGATATCGTTATCAAATTTCACCGTGCAGTCCAATGCTCTTAACGAACATTAATACCTTGCTCGGCGAAAGGTCATTCAGATCTTTTGAGGAGATAAACTGCGACCCAAATATCGAGAATCTGATACGGTTAACGGCATGGCAGTGGCATAAAACATGCTCAACCGTCTCTGCTTCCTCCGCACATAGTCGGCATTCAACATCGTCGGCTAAACCCAACAAGTTGAGGTGTGCTTTTAATCGGCAGTGCCCAGTAAAAACACCCATTAGAACTTTTATGCTACTACGGGCAAGTCCTAAAATATTCCCGGGTTTGACAGTGGCGATGTTAATAAACACCTTAGCATGTCTCATTCCAGGAGAACTGGTCCACAGTAGGCGAAGTCTCTCTTCAGCCCACAGTCCAATCCTATATTTGGCCATCGCAAATGATACACCAACTGCTGGTTCCGGTCCCACAAACGCTTCAGCGCTGCCATCTCGTGCTAGCTTATCTGCCGCTTCATTGCCAGCAACCCCAGAGTGACCCGGGACCCAGATCAGAGAGACTCTGTTATCACAACTCAGTGTGTTTAATGTTCTCTTACAATCATTAACCAGAGCCGACACCGTTTTCACGGCTTGCAGCGCCTGGAGAGCGGCTTGACTGTCTGAGAAAATTCGTACTGTCATGTTCTTCACCCCTCTTTCAAGAAGGATTTTAGCACCCATGTCAATAGCAAATACTTCCGCCTGGAATACAGTACAGTACGTACCCAGGCTGTAGGCTTGCTTAATTCGAGGTGTCTGGCAGTATACTCCTGCTCCTACCCCTTCAGGCGTTTTTGATCCATCTGTGTACAAGCAAATGTCTGCCCGAACCAGAGAATTTTCATTTTCGATCCAGGACTGCCGCTCAGGCAGTACAATCTGGTATCGAGCATTAATCACTGATAGTGATACCGCCAAATCTGACGGCATTGATAGCACAGTATCAGTGCTTATAATGTCTTCCGCAGCCCATTGGTAGGACATGTCGGAACAGTTTTGAGCATATTGCTTAAATCTGTAAATGGTTGTTCTAGCCACTTTCTCTATATGCAAATGCAGAGGAGATAGGCCAAGCAGAACCTCCATTGCTAGAGTTGGCGTTGTGCCTATCGCACCAGAGATTGCCAATCCAGCTACTCGTTGAATTCGTGAAAGTTTACTGATAACTGAAGTCTGTCGGACTTTCCTATACCAGGCTGCTGCTCCGTATGTGATCATAGGTCTAACCACAGTCACATAGAGCCAGTACAGTCTTTCAGGGGTAAGACCCCAATTTTTTCCACAAAGACTGCGACAAGTCCACAAGGATAGTCTAGCTTTGTGCAAAACTCCCTGCAAATGTCCATTCCATGACAGGGTTTTGTCTAGGATTACTCCTAGATATTTGACTTCCTTTGAGAAAGGAATTTCTTCACCTTGGATAGTTGGGCGGATTAGTCCATCCAACTTTCACTTCCTGGTGAAGGGCACAACAATTGTCTTTTGCGGGTTTATTGAGAGGTTCTCTCCCTTACACCAAGCGCAAATGGTATCTAGGGACACCTGGAGGACTTTAGATATCCTCGGCAAACAGGTTCCTTTGACCATAACGACAATGTCATCAGCATAAGCTTGTATTTCCACACCAACGGCTTCGACTATCGCAATCAGATCGTCAACTAGGAGGGACCAAAGCAGGAGAGATAACACCCCTCCCTGTGGGCAGCCACCTCCCAGCCTGAAGCGTATCGTATCACCGTGGAGTGAAGTAGAAACTATTCTACTATCTAGCATATTGCGGATCCAACCCGCTATAGTTGCTTCCACTCCCCTGTCAAGAGCAGCTCTTTCAAGAGATTGTGGTATTGCGTTGTTGAACGCTCCCTCTATATCCAGAAACGCACAAACCAAGATTTCTTTATCCTGCAGCGTCCTGGATACTCTACCAACTAAATTGTGTAGAGCCAATTCTGCTGATTTTCCCGCTTGATAAACATACTGGTGGCGACTCAGTGGACCAGATACCACGATGCGATGTATACTCTAGTAATTAATTATTCAGTAATTACTATATTCAGTAATTAATTCGTTAATTTTTACGACGGTTTCATCGAGTTCAGCCTCTCTCTTCATCCTCTCGTAGTCGTAGACTTTTGCTTGGTATTTTCTACTTGTGATCATTTGAACGGAGGTAATTTTTCTTTTAAGTATGAGATATAGCTGTAGATTTTCAACAGTATCTTTTATAGACACTTTGTGAACCTATGCGAACCCAGGGAAACATTAGCAATCAATTTTGAAAAGTGTTGAATTAAAACTTAATTAAAACTTTCAGGACTATGTCTCAATTACCAGATAGGTACTCAAACAAAATCTTATATCAGCAAAAGCACATAAATAGTATATGAAGTATAAGTTATATAATTCTTCTTGTTTTTTTATCGAATTTTTATTAAAAAAATCCAAGTTTCAGACTTTATAAATAACGTCATTTGATTTGGACGCGTATACAGCTATATATAAGTTGTTTCAACTCACGGACTTAAAATAACGTAGTCACACCTCTTTTGTTCTATAAAATTGTTCCATGCCATTTAAAAAGTTAGTAACGTAATAAACTTTTCAATACGCCCACCTTAATGAGCTTTTGCAGTTAGTACATCGGGCGTAAAATTACTCTAGAGAGGTTCTACAGTTTCCGTTCATCCAAAATTGTATACACAGCGCGGAGTGCTTTCTCTTTTTTATACTTTTTATTACTATTCTCATTTAAAAACGGTTAAAAGCTGTAAAATGTTCATCCGGCAACATTCTTTGTATTCCGTCGTCCAGGGATTTTATCTCTCGCGGCGTCGGCGTCGTGAGCTATCTCAACTAACAACCCACGGCTTACACGCATTTCAATAGCGTATAGCAATTCGAGCTTGTGCTGCCTTTTACTCCGACAATGCATAATAAACGAGAAAACGGTCTGCGGGCCCTAAAGAAACCAACAATGGGATAACTTATGCATGCGCCAAGCGACGTATAGACTAGGCGCGAGGAGATTTAAAACTTTCAACATTATTGCTGCATCGAACTTCGCTCTCCCGGCTAGGTCATTAACCCATTAACTTCAAGGGAACCTTCCTTTTGGACGTATTTGGATAAATCATTGCGGTTTCTGTTAACGTTTTAGTTTGTGGTTTGTATCTATCAGTTTACCTTCCCATAAACCTTGACCCTTTACATTGTGTTAATAATGGAAATCGTGCTTGTAATGGTGTGAGAAATAAATTTATGGTTTGAAATTAATGTCTAACCTACTTTAATCTTGTATCTTGACTAGAAAAGTAATAGATTATAGATTTTTATTATTCAAGTAATGTATAAAGTTTTTCAATTACAGGCATCTTAAAGAGAAGTAATTTTACGCTCGCTGTACATGCTGTTAGGGAAAATAAGTGGTGCATGATGGTCGAAGAATATTTTTTCGTCGTTGCTTTGAACTCTTCGACGGGCTCAGGAGGCCATCGAACGCGCCAAGTGCAGCTGGTGGTTCTTCTGCGTGAACTTGAATGGGTAACCTTGAGCTAAGCCAGTGGGTTGAAGACCTCGAAGAGAAATTTAACTTGTGATGATTATATAAAGGTTAAAAACAATCATTTTGCTATAAAGAAATATAATATTAGTAAGATTAAATTGAGTTAATAACAATACAAAGTTTACGGTTTACAACGATACTTTGAAATGATAAGCCGCACACGTGCAATTTTGTTGTTTCTATTCGACGCAATTTTCTGTTCCACATTTGGTATCCACTTTCTATAGAGTCCAAGTTAAATTCGAACAGTTCGAAGTAAAAGCATGAGGAAAACAGGGGCTCGGTAAGGTTCTTAGTGCTCGGTTAAAGAAAAAATACAAACTGGTTGCGGCACAAAGGAAACCGGCCTGGGTTTCGTGCGGCAACACACTTGCTCTTCCCGAACAAAGAACGTTCCAAGATGATGGAAGAAGCTCCTTCTTCACTACGAAGCGAGAAGAAACAATCATCTCGTCCTCGATTACGTCTCCTCTACAACGTGTACTTACACTTTTATTCGAAAAAGTTTAATCTGATGGACGAGAGACGGTCCTGTTAGTCTCAATTATTCTACGTTACAATGCGCGAACAAGAAATAGATCTAATTACTGCTGACTGTTAGTTTTCTGTAGACTTTTTTTAAATAACGGCTTCAAACACTTCACCAAGACAACACTTCATTTTAATGACGAAAGAAATCGATAAAAGCAACTCGTTCTTACGATTGTGGCTTCCTATTTTGATGAAGTTTCTTTTTTTTTAATTTTAAATTAACACTTTAAATGTACATTAAAGCTAAATTAAACTCTATAAAAGATACTCAATAACTTAAGAAATAAGAAAAAATAAGCTTTCCCATCGAATCGATATAATTGTAAACGAAAGGAGGTTGCGAAGTAATAACATTTTTTCGGTTTCGATCATAAATCGAAGTGGTAGTCATGTGAGAAACCAACTTTAGATATGCATTACAATAGCCTTATACATAATAAGAAGCCGCTCATGTATTACAAGAAGATATTGAACTCAGTTAACGCGTGTACTCGGACACCGAGCACGTTCTTGTTAACAGGAAATGAATGGCGTTACGAGCTACTCCTACAGGAAGTAAAGAACAGTATGTGCCTTGAACCACGCACGAGGCAATATTTGAATGAGCACCCATTACGAATTATAAAATAAAACTTTTAAAATGTCAATGATCGACCTTCGAATTATTTACCATCTATACGAACTTTTAATATAAAAGTTGTAGCAAATCTTATTCTTAACACTTTTGCACTCAGATGGAAGATTAAGCTTTCATTATTGTTCATTAAAATCGGTTGAGAGGTTTTGTTATAATCAAAATTTCATTGGAACAAAAAATACCGTCCACGTGTTCGACCCAAATTTTTGCACAAATCCGAACATCCGAAACACTCGCCCGTTTGAAAATAGTAACGGACAAGAATAATTCTGCACCCAAAAATAACAGAACCCATTGATAATTAAAACCGCATGACTAAGACTTCGTCCAAGACTTGGCGAGTCGTCCCAGTTTACTTGGGATGACGAGGCGCGCCTCTTTGCGATGGAAACGGCAATTATACCTCCGCAGAAGCTGGTTCGAAGCAACAGCTGCCTTTACATTGTGCCATTGCACTTTCATTTGAGCTCGGTTGCCGCTGTAGCTGGAAAAGAAGTTTTGCGCAAGACGCAATCGACCCACCTGATTGAGGTTTTAATAATTACACGGTGTGCAAGGTTTTCGTCCCGCGGCTGAAACCGTCTCAGTATCTTTCTTATTCTAAAGCCTGTTGGCGCAAAAAGGACAACCATAACTGATTATGATCGGTGTAATCATGTGAGAATTACGTACCTATCAAGACTTATTTGAAAGGTAAAGGTTATCGGTTGTAAAAATTTGTTGGTTCAACAAGATTTATCAAACTAAGAAGATTTAATAGATAGATACATTTTATCCCGTTGGAAATTGATGTTATTAACAACATCAATTTGTAAAATAGTAAAAAAATACATTAAATTTGTAGCAAGATACAAATATTTACGAATCTCCCAAAAATATACGCGGATATAAAATTGTAAAATGAATATTTTCTCGAATCGAAGAAAATTTGCTATGAACTGAGGAAAGCATAAATATAAAACATAAAATAAAAGCCAACGTCTAGACAATGAGACAGAACCTGGCACAAACATTTAGCTTTATGAGGATTCTTTGTTTATTTGGACCAGTAAACATTACGCCTTTACGTGTTTCCTATTATCTATTTTAAGTTTTCCAATTTCGATCAACATACAATTTTTATGCGCTCTTATTTATAATTTTGATTATTTCTCAATTTTTTTTCTTGCATTATCATCGTATGAGTCATATGAATATGAACTTGCTCTTAGTAGATAATCTTTAAAATTTAAACGAAATATTTGCTAAATATATTATTAGTATTACATAATCATAATTTTAATGTTTTCAAAATTTCAAAACGAAGAATTAAATTTCAAAAACGTTAACGTTTATGAAACGGAATAGTGCACTGAAGCCATTCGAGATTGCGGCTAACCCCTCCGAAGTGACAATAACCCAAGAACTACCAACCATCGATGAATGGAACAAGTAATGAAATTAGCGAACCACAAATCACCCATTAGAATTTGAAATATCATGACACCTCGTAGATTTTGTTAAGCTCATAATGACCAGAGTAACATGCAGAGAGAAAATTGGTCAACACATTTTTAGAGCATTTGACATACATCAGGGCATAAGACATTTGGGACGCACTGACTTGTGTACTTTTTATCCTGGCACTTGAGAAGGTTATACGAAGCTCTGGAATAAAAACGTCTGGCACAATTTTTAGCAGGAGTATTAAGTCCTAGTATACGCAAATTATTTGGACATTGTGGGCGGAACAGACAGAGATGTCATAAGGGCCTTTACAGGTCCAAAAAAAGGCTGTAAAAGACGTGGGGATAGATATAAACTTTTTGTCGAATCTTGTTGCTTAAAATTGAAATATTTTTGTTGCACCACCGTCACTAACTTTATTGACTCGTCTCAAAGAAAATCATCATCTTCGCTTGTCTGTCCGACGACAACAGTTATTGTATCCAAAGGTGTTTTCCAAATAAGTTCATGTTCTATTGGTAGCCATTCCCCCACTGCTACATGCCCACATTCCCCTACAATTATGTACATCAAATGTTTTGACACATGAGGAATTTTGTACACATTCTATACAGTGAATTTCACTTAAAATGCAATATACAAAAATATATTTAAATAGAAACAAGGGCAAAGTAAGTAGGTACTTACTTTGTCCTACATAATATGCAACATGTCTGAATGTTTGTAGTTCTAGGTCTAATGTTAGTTCTAGTGACAGTGGTAGGTAGCGCTAGTTAATATATGATATCACTATGTTGCATATTTTTATTGAACTGGAACTAGAACTAACACTAGACCTAGAAAGTATCGGGTTTAGCCGTCTTGAAAGACGTGCCCGAATGTTTCTAGTTCTAAGTCTAGTGTTAGTTGTAGTTTTAATGGTTATTTAGCGTTTGATTGTTGTATATTTTTATTGAATGAAAAGTAACATTAAGAGTTTATTGTATACAGTAATAGTTTACAATTCTTTACATTATTCAAATATTACTTTCACTCTCTACCCTCTTCCTCCATTTCCACGCCCTCGGCTCCTCGGCCCAATCATCCCCTCACCCATCCCTTTGTCTCCTCACCCCCATCACCATTCTCATCCATCGTTTCCCCTCTCCCCCCTCTCCTAAGATCTGCCCGCGGTCCATCTCCTCCTCCCTCAACTCACTGCACCCATTCAGCATGTGTTCTAACGTTTCCCATTCCTCCCTGCACAGCCTACACCACCTCTCCTCATCGGCCATCCAGTATTTGTTGGCTCTCTCCTCGTTTCCACAACGGAACCTAGCCACCAACTTTTTCCCTTCCTCATCTCTTTCCAATAACAAGTATCTAGGCAGCCCCTCCGTAATTATGTCCCTGTATCTTTCGTTATACCTTCCCTCTTTTATTTGTGTCCTTCTTTCCTGTCTCTGCACATCTCGGTCCCTGTCTCTCAACTCCCTCCACATCTCCCTACCCACCCTTCGTCTACTATTTATCTCCGTTACCGAGTAGCCCGCTCGTCTATAATAGTTGTCTCTGTGTCCTTTCCCATATCTGACCTTTCCCTCTCTAATTTCCCTCCAACACTCCCCCAGGATCCCGCAGCTTGGCCTCCCTTCTATTCTTTCTTCATATTTCACTGCCCTCCTGCCCGCCTCCACCCTGACCTTATCCACCTTTACCTCTTCCCTCACTATATACCCCGGTGTTTCTCTCGCCACCCCAAGCACCCATCTCCAATATCTAGCCTGCACGTCCTCCAGCGGTCCCTGCTCCCTCCATCCCCATACCTCTGCCCCATACATCATCACACTGCTAACCAGACCTTCAAACATAATCTTCCTCGCTGCCACATTCCTTCCAAAGACTCTCTTCCCCCAACCCCATACTTGTCCCATCACCTTATTCGCCTTTTTTGCCATAGCTATCACATGCGACCCCTCCCTGTTATCCTCCCTAAACACATACCCCAAGTAAGTATACTCCCTAACCTCCTCGATCTCCTTTCCCTCCCATCTCCAGTTTTCTGTTCTTTTTCTCCCACCCTTACAAAACTTCATCATCCTTGTCTTCCCCACATTCACTTCCAGCCCCTTCCCCCTAAAATATCTTTCCAATGTCTTTATCATATCTTTCATCTCCGCCGCTTCTCTCGCCATGACCACGATGTCATCCGCGTATGCTAACATATGCACCTTTCTACCTCCCACCACCAATCCTCCCATCTGCCCCTTCCCCAATCTTTCCTCCAGGTCCGCCGTATACAGTTCAAACAGACTTGGGCTCAGCGGACATCCCTGCCTCAGTCCAGAACACGTCGCTCGGCTTATCTCCCACTTTTATTCTAGCCATCGTCTCCATGTATATTTCCTTCACTCTCGCAATTAGGTGTTCCGTTATCCCCCTCCTCCCCATCTCCTCCCACAAGTTCCCCCTATCCACCTTATCAAAAGCCGCCTTCAAATCTATAAACAGGGCGTACAATTTCCCTCCCTTCTTATCCAGCTCTTTATCTGCCAAATGCTTCAACACATACACGTTGTCGATTGCTATTGAATGAAAAGTAGAACTAACACTAAACCTAGAACCAGAAACATTCGGCTTTAGCCGTGCGTGTCTTAAGACGGTCCAAAACTCAGGGTTTTATAAGGACGTCACCTTTTTCCAAGCAAAACTTTTCCTTTGCAAAACCACTCAATGTCTGTACTATTAGGCTATGTTGCATTTTATGTGGGACAGTGCAAGTGTATAGTAGTTTCGTAACTATGATTACTGCATTCATATACTGCTTAAATCGATTGAGCATAACCGAATTTACAAAAAAAAAAAATAGGAAATGACAAATAACTTTTCTTCACACGAATTTAGTGAACTCATATGACATTGTTATGGTACAAATCTATGATTGATGTATAAAACAGATTTGTAACCACACCTTAATTGAATCAGTAGATTTTGCAATATTCCAGAAGCGTGTACTTACATTAGATACACATTTATACTTAGAATTAAACCAAGACGAAAATTTAATACTACAGATAAAAACTTCAATTAATTTCCTTTTTCTAACCTAATGTATCGTATTAGTTTTAGATGTAAAAAAATATTTTATCATAGGAAGCAGGATAATAATCTATTATTTATTTTGATGATTCCTATAGTATTTAATCTTTATGGCAGTTTCTTGTATGTTTTCAAACCACTCCTTAAGTATGTTTACTACCTCTCTGATGTTTTTTATGATACTCAAAAACCATTTTGTATACAGTTATAATGATACTGCTTCTAGTTAAAACTATTTTCTATTATAAATATTTTAGGTGAAGATTGCAAAATTTGCATGAGAATTTGTGACAAAAATCAATATTGGTAATATCCAATTATAAGTATTTTAGTGGCTTGGTGAAGATTGCATAAATATGTATGAGGGAAGGAATTTGTCCTGCATACTTCGTTGCGCATTATTAGCAGGATACAAGAAAGCATTGTCCTGGGTTTTATAATAGCGTCGTTAGGGAGCACACCGGCTGCCAAAAATACTGCGGCACGCAAGAATTTTAGCAAAAACCGGCGACGACCGTTGCTCGGCGCACTTCGAAAATAACAATAACTCACGGCTACCAATTCGTCAACCTCGTATTTATACATAACTCGCAGCCAAGAAATCCAACAAATGATTTACCTGTGTACATCAGCCGCTCTTCGCACCCTTCCTCAAACTTGTTCTTCTTATTCTTCGTGTCGTCGCCGAAGGATTCTTTTCCGAAAAGCGCCGAAATTCAACAAACACACTCATGTACACACTCCGCGGTTGTTTATTTGCCTCACTTAAATAGGCGCGGTAATAATAATCATAATAGCGTCGGTGCACGGTGCCGGTTCTAAAAATACGAGGTGGAGAGGACCCCGAGGCGGGTTCTGGGCGATTTTTATTTGTTCGCCCGTTACGAGTCTTCCGACTCGTACGCCACTGGACGCGCGGAAACCTCTTCCTTGTGTTGTCCCCCAAGCAACCTGCCGTTGCAACTGCTGCTTGAAATCCTGCTGTTTCAAACGAGACGACCGTTTTTCCCGCTACACTTATTAGTTACAACGACATCTTTTAATCAATGACCAAACTTCAAATTCATTGTATTTAAATTTACCTTTTAAGGAAGGAAGAAATCTGTTGTGGTATGGTATTAATTTCGATTGTCGTTTAGAGATTGAAACACTTAACAGAATTTCATTGACAAAGAAGAAAATAAAAACAATGAGTTATTAAAAATTAATATATCAATTTGAAAATATGTTTGTGTCAGTAGAAAGCTTATCATTTGTATAGCAAGTACTAATACTTTCATAATGATTTATTATGATACCGATTTGTTATGATTTCTTGAAAATGTTTAAAAATTAATATCGCAAAAACTAAAAGATATTTTAGAAATTCCTTTCTTTTATTGGAGAGCTTACAATTTGTATATGAAGTGTCGATAGTTTGATAATGATTCGTTGTAATCCCGAATTGTTACGATTTTTGAGAATCATTAAAAATAATTGTTTATCCCGAAATATGAGAAAATGCCTTTTTGAGTTTTCTAAAAGTTCCAAATGTATTTCCCCCTTAATTTGTTGAAACTCATTCCAATTTTTTTTTGTGATTTAATATATTTATTATAAATAGTAATATATTATACTAAGAATGATTTACATTGATATTGACAAAAAGAGTTATTGAAACTACCGGCGAG